AAATAAAATTGAAAACTAGAAACAAGAAAAATGAATGTTACCAAACATAGCCTTAAGGTATGAATCGGGCTAGAGCTCCAACTTAACATAAAATAAGAATATAAGGTTTAAATACTTTTTTTGGTCTGGAAATTTCGGACTTTGGTTTATTTTTTATCTATGTAATTTCAATTTTTATTTATTTTTGTCAATGTACTTTCAAAATGACTAAATTAATCATTGTACTTTTAAAAAGTGACCATTTTAGTACTGTTTTCACACGAAATTTCCTTAAATTTCATTAGAAATTATATTTTGTGAAGTTGATTCTTTGAAAGTTTTCAAGTTGGTCTTCGAATCTTAAGTTTTAAAGAGTCTTCAATTGGTGTGAATCCTCTCCATTCTGAAATTCTGAATCCTGAAAATTAAGGAGGTCCCCTCTATTTATAGAGGTTTCCATAGGCTTAATGAGATTGAGCTTGGGTTATTTTGTACAAAACCAATGAATTGGGTCATGGGCCCAATTTAACTTCAAAAGGTATGGACTTGGATGATTTTGGATCCAACCCATAGTTTGAGCTTTGGTGATTTTGGATCCGGCCCAATTCTTTAAGTGGATTTAAACTTTTTTAAATATCAATCCACCATCTTCCTGATATATGGCAAACATACCTAGTAATGGTCTTATTGTAATCTAGGTTTTGGGCCAAAATACCATCCAAAGGATTTGTGAACTGAATCGAACAGGGCCTAATTTTATATGGCCAAATTCGACTAATTAAAACCAATCCAAATGACCCAATGAAAGACACTTGGCATTTTCGTCATTTAATTTTAATTTAGGGAGAATTTATAATCCCCAAATAAAATATAGTTTTGTCAATAATGACGTGGCCATTTATGATTGACCCAAAATTTATGGTTCTACACATACTTATTTGTAAAATTTTTACACAATTTTTATTACATAATGGAAACCCTTGAAGACAAATTTATGCTTGCATTTCAAGAAAGTTAATGAATTGAGTCTCATGTTGAAAGTTTGATAAATATATGTGATAAAATGAAAATAAAGAGATCAATGGTCACTTTTTTAAAAGTACAAGAGTCAAAATGAACGTTGTGAAATTACAAGGACTAAAATGAAAAAAAATTTAAAATAAATTGGACCAAAATTAACTAAAGTTGAAAGTATATGAACCAAAAAATTATTTAGTTGATTAAATTTATATTATTTTTACTTGTAGACTTAATTCTTATTTTGGCCCTTGTACTTTTTACTTTTATCTATTTTGGCCATTGAACTATCAAAATGCCTATTTTGATCTTTGTAATTAAAGAGTTCATTTTGGTCTCTATTTGTAAAATCTCAACACAAATTTTATATGCAACAAATAAAAAACCTTTTGATACAAGACCATAACAATATTTTAAAATATTGATAGAATGCAGCATTATGTTGTAATTGTAAGAGAAAAGAAATGATAACCAGTAAAGTCATGTTCAAGTTGACGACTCAAAGTAGGATTTAAACCATATTTTTAATAACTTCTTTTAAATAAAAATTTATAAGAAGAGAAATAACTTTATTATTCATAGATAACTTTTATATATATTTAGTCATTATATAAAGTACGTAAGTTTTTTTTTTCAATTATAGATAAAAAAAAAAGTGAGTACGAGAGTGATAACATTAAAAAAAGAAAAATACAAGGGTAACATTTTAAGAATTTTTTGAGATTTAACCTTATAGCTAGCTATAAAAAGTTTAATTTAATATGGTTGATGCGATTTTTTTATTTATTTTGTAGTTTAAATAAGAATCATGTAGATATATAAATATTGATTGAGATATTAATATTTTTTTATTCTTGAATTTTATGTATTTTTTTAGGTACTAACAATTTTGTAAAGGTTGTAATTGTTAGGATTAAAATTTATTTAATTTATTATATTTTCTTCTTTTTATTTATAAAAACTTTTTTTTAACTCTATCTCCAAAAATCTTATTTATTTTTTTTATAAATAATATTACGTCATATGGGTCATGGGATTTGAGTCACACATATGAGTTTTTATGTTATGTTGATAAAACTTAAAAATTTCTACTATATTTGAAATTACATATTTATTTTATACTATTTATGTAGATGCCTATTTTTTATTCTAGTTTTTTAAAGATATGATTCTTTTATAATTTCAACTTCTCTCTATTTTTTAGCCATTTTTGTTGTTTTTTTTTGGGTTTTTCTTTTTTAAACTTTTTTCCATTTTAAAGTGTTGCTTTTCTTTGTCTGTAGTTGTGTTCTTTTTTTCATAATTTTATAGGGTTTAAAAGTTTGGGATCATTTACAACATTTAGATTTCATGATTTAGAGGTAAAAAAAATGTTATTCAACCGTTATTTCTTATTTCTTATTCTCACTTTTCTATATATACTTTAAAATTAAATAAATACATTTAATACATATTCTTGTTTCTCGATTCTTAGGTTTTTTTTTCTTAAATCAAAATAGAAGTCTCCATTGAAAAATAAATTTTAAAAATAAAATAAGTTAAAAAATTTATGTTATTTCTAAATATTGTTTATCCAATTCATGAACCAAGAATAGCAAAGATAGGAATCACATTAATATCTTAAAAAATAAAATACATATATTAGGAAACAAGAGAAATAGGAAAAACTTCAAGCCCCTAGATCATCATTCCCTATAAATCTCTTGGTGTCAACATTCAAGAGCTACAAAAAAAATTTATCAAACAATTTCCAATAAAAGATTTGGATGGAAAGTAAAAACTTATACCTAACGCCAGCTATTTATTTTGGGGAAAAAAATACAAAAACAAGAAAACCAAATTATATGTCAAACTAAAACCTAATTTCCATTTAGTTAAAAAAAAAAAACTTAATTTTCATTTGGTTTAATACAATTTAATTAGTTCTTCTACTTTTTGAGTTTGGTTCTACTTTCAAAAGGTTCATTTTGATTCATGTATTTTCAGCTTTTGTTAATTTTAGTCCTTATACTTTCAAAATGTTCATTTTAGTCACTCTACTTTCAACTTTAGTTCATTTCCTTACTTTGATATCTTTAATAAAAATTTATGGCTAAGTTCATTAAATTTAGTGGGTAGAGTACAATGCTAAAATTATGACCGAAAGAATGAGATAACAATAAAAATGAATTGACCGAATTTGTCACTTTTAAATGACCAAAGTAGACATTTTGAAATACATAGACTATAATAAATAAAAATTGATAGTACAGGGACAGAAATGAATATTTTGAAAATATATATACCAAATTAAATCAAAATCAAGAATAAACAGACCAAAATAGTATTTAAACCTTTTTCGTTTTCACGGTAGGCCAAGAAAGAGTCGTGGAAAACTAGTTTCTTTCACAAAAGTAGTTAGAAATAAGAAAACAAAAATAGTGCATCCCTTTTTTCAAATCAATGTGTTGAGTTGCCAAATGCCAACTAATTATACTCAAACCACCTATCTCTTTCACTTGACGCATGCAACTGTTCATGAAAATATGTGTCCTCCAACACATGTGCCTTTTTAATTCTCCCCTAAAAAATTAAGATTAAATTTTAAAATATTTATTACACAAATTAAAATTTTTTAAGTTGAATTACAAGCTTGGGTCTAACAATCCTACTATTATGAATTTTCAATTTTGTGTCTATAATTATTTGACTTATTCAACCTTTTAAAAAATCCGTAAACTTATTAGATGCAAAGTTGAAACTTTAAGAATTTTATAAGGTATTAAATTTAATTTTATGTTTAATAAATTTATTTTAAAATATTAAAGAGGTTATGAACCTATTAAACACAAAATCAATTTTTAATTCTATGACGTTCTTTTAACTTGTCTTAAAGAAAAATCATGAAATCACTCCCCAAAGAAAAATGCCCTAAAATTAGGTCTTCAACTCACAATTCGCGGTCAAACTTCTATTTTGACCTGCTACCTCATCCAAAACTACAACGTTTCTCAGAATATCTTCAAAAATAGTTTATTTTTCTAAAATATATAATATTAATAGAAATAAAATCCTGAATCTCTACAATTGAAAAAAAAAAATATATATATCATAAGAGGTGGATTTTGCTGTCGAAGTGGACCCAACAAGTAAATGTAGGCCCATTCTTTTATTAATATTCATATATGGAAAAATCATCACTTGCCACGTCATCTACTACTACAAGCCCCAAAAAAAGTAAGCCAAACTTCATAAAAAAATAAATTAAATTAAAAGAAAAAGAAGCCTCTGAAATTACCTAACTACCCATTTATTTATTTTAATTTCAACTACACTACCTGAAATGTGAAAGAATCGAACGAAAAGGAGAAATTAGAAATTAGAAATTATAACTAATTAGAAGAAGGCTCTTTTGAACTTTAACCAAGTATGTAGAATCATAACTAATTGCTACCAGAGATTAATGAATAAAGCAAGAGAGAGAAAATAGGATTTTTTTTTCAAAAAATAAATAGCTTTAATTTTATAATGTGATAGGAAAATACCTACCCAGTAGCAAGCGGTTAAAAATTATTCTAATATATATAACACTACTTAAATCCTTACAAATCAACATTCATTTTTATATTGACCAGACCACAAATAAAAATTTGACAATATTTTAAGAGTCTTAAATATTTTTCTACTTTCAATTTTTTTTTTTTAAATACAACAACATGAGTGAAGCTTCAAATCCACACGTTTTAATCTATACTAACCAATTGAGTTATTATCAAGTTTGTTTTTCTAATATATATAACTAGTAACCATTTATCTTGACTAAACGCAATGTCTCGGTCCCCCTAAAACACACCCTATAAAATCTCCTGCTGTCCACGTTCAAGAGCTACGCTAAACTCACCCACCCGCCACGCAAGCCACAAGACAGACAGCATCATCGTGCATTACGCAGAGAATAATTAAAATTAAAATTTTAAAATTTTAAATTGTAAAATAATAATAATAATATGTTACAATTAAAAAAAAAAAGAAAAAGAAAAAGAAATGAAAAATCCTTCAACCCTAAAAAAAAGAATTTGTTGCAGAACGAAGAAGAGACGGAAAAAAAACCCTCGCGAATTAATTTCCCGATAATTTTTCCCACCACCAAAAACCAAATCCAAAATTCAAATCCCTTCTTCTTCTTCTTCTTCTTCTTCACATCAGCGATTTCAACGACCGCGCTTTCACCGGCTTCCTCATCCGCTTCTTCCCGCCGTCGCCGTCGCCGTCTCCGTCGTCGTCCTCGTCGTCCACATAATCCCATTCGTCGCCGTCGATTTCAGACGGCGACGGCGACGGCGTCGTCGCATTGCTCCGAAATCCGGCCGTATTTTCCACCGATCTCCCCCCTTCTTCCCCTCCTCTCTCCCGCCGTTTCTTCCCCCACAGCGGTCCGAATCCAGAATAATAATAGAACTCGTACGGATTCGACCCTCCCGCCGCCGCCGCCTTCTTCGAAGCCCTGGCCGGCCGCGTCCGCCGCGTTCCGGCCGCAGCTTTCTTAGTAATCGAGTAATTATTGAGAGTAGAGTAATTATTGTTTTCGCTAGACCTAAGAAAGGAACGGCGGTGGTGGTGGTGATGGTGGTGGCGGTGGTCGGAACTAAACGAAGAAGAATAATCTTCCTCTTTAGGTTGCTTCTTACATTTCCAACTCCTATCGTCGTCTCCAGCGACTAATTTCTCGAATCCGACTCCATTTTCATCTCCGGAATCATCATCCTTCTCCGCCATTACTTCATTCTCATCGATAATAACTATATTATTCGATAATTTCGCCGACTCCTCCATCATCGACGCGACGCTGTGATTCGTATATATAAACAAATTTCAAACTAATCTTCAAATCCAGAAACAGCCACAGACGACACGAGAGTAATAATAATTATACAACCGCGCTCCATTTCTCCTCCCCGAAAAAAAATTTCAGATTATCGTATGGGCATTTTACTCATTCACTCAACCGCGACCATTTCCGAGGCGGAAAGAATAAATAAACGCACAAATTAAACGCAACAAATCAGCAGAAACGAACAAAATCACAGAAAATTAAACGAACTCACCTCTCGACGGCTCCGATAGAATAATCGCCCAAGCTAGCATTTCCAGCGAAGCTATCTTCGGCCTCCTCGAGCTGCGAGAACGAAACAACGAGAAATAGAGCAGCAGGTGAGGGAGATCGATTGACCTAATCGGGAGAAGAACGAGGATAATTTTTAGGGTTTTTGGAGGAACCCTAAAAGTGGAGGGGGAAAACGAAGAACCCTAGAGAGAGAGGGAAATGCGAACGGGAAAAGAATAGAGAACTAGAGCTTAGGTCAATAGTAGATCTATGAGGAAGAAAGTAAAAACTAGAGACGAAGATTAGAGATTGGAGATTGGAGATTGGAGATTTGAGATTTTTTGTTTTCGCTATCAAACCTGGTTCGCGGCGTCTTGGTGGAGCGGAATCACATCCCACGGCGACTGGTTCAGCTGGCAAACGTGCGTCGGAAGAGCTTGAGGAACGGACGCCATGGACGGCGAGAACAACAGCGGCGATAACTTCGCGTTTTTACGGATCCTCATGGCGGAGAAAATCGAAAATTACGATTGAAAAGCCTTCGAAGAATCTACGCAGCTTCACCAGAAACCGCAGCTATACAACATCCAAACACGATAAAATTTCGGAGGAAAACAAGAAAAAAATCAAGTGCTCACCGTCTGAAAATTTTCTCAGCGATTTTCCCTCATTTTCTCGGGCTTTTTTTTTTCTTCTTTTCTCTCTCTTGTTTTTTTGCAGATCTCACACAGAACTCGATAGTCAGGGTTTAACTTTCTGTTGCTTTCTCGGCCCTTCATATGTTTTGATCTGTTAATTTTCAACCGGACGATTTTACCCCTGCGTTTTCTCTTTATTTACAGGAGGTAATGGTAATTTTAATCTTTAATTTTTAATTTCCGTTTTTTTTCTTTTTTCTTTTTTGGTCCTTAGAGGAGTAAGGGAAGAAAGCTGCCGCTATTACACGTCATGATAGTTGTCCAAGAAAACTTATTATTTCTCCCTTGCATTGGAGAGAATAATCCGGTGTGGCCGATCCCACCGGATACTACTCCACCCCCGTCCATCAGAACGGTCCCAATTCTGCCTAACCGCAGATCAGCAGATTCGGTACGAGTGGTCCGCAGTGGATAATTACTCGAAGATAAGTAGCGGGAGCGGAGGGGTAGTTTAGGAATTTTGTTTTGTTTTGTTTTTGTTTTTTTGAAGTAATTAAATTCGTGAAACCTAACGAAGGGAGCGTGGGACACACGGGTTGGCGAGGCGCGTGGTAAACAACGGGGAAGTGGCGGACAACGGGAGAGGGCCCAGATCAAGGAACGGTGGGTCCCACGAGGTAGCGAACAAAAATTGACGGTTGTGATGGGATCCAATCATGAGGTAGAGGGCACAGGATCGGGATCATGGTTTCTGTTTCTGGAAGCGGCTGGGGAGTGACGTGGCATGATAGATAGTTTTTTTAATTTTTTAAAAGTGTGGTTTAAAATTTTTAAATTTATTTAATTAGGAGAAAAAATATTTTAGAAATTAAAATAATTGTTGGAACGAAATTTAAGAGATATTATGACGGGGGCTTTGCTGGTTGCCGTCTGTGGAAGGGTAGATGCAGGCATATAAATGTGAATCTATGAAATGATCCACAAATTTAGGGGGGAAAAAAAACCTTTTCAAGATTCCAAGTTCTTATTCTTACCAAAAATTGAAATTAATTGACAAAGTAACGATGTAATATCAGGATAAATTTTATTTCTTTCAATAGGGAGAATTCTATATTTTTTATTTGTTGAAATAGACATAGTACTACTAATCTATTAAATTAAAAAAGCGATTGCAAAAATAGCAAAAAATCTTGAGGTCTACCCTATGTAGAAGAAAGTAAAAATCTGATACATCGTTAATATACGTGGAGCCCAACCAATGATATTTACGTGATATACCTAATATATATAATTGATTTGATATATTATTGATATATTTAATATAAATGATGATATGCTTGATATATTACTTTTCTAGGACTCAAAAATACAAAAATAGAAAATAAGAGTTTGTTTGTGATAACGTTCATGTTTTTTGTTTCTCGTTTCCAAATTTTATTAAAAACCCTCGTCAATTTGTAATTAATTATGTTTCTTATTTCTCATTTTTTTGAAACATTATCGAAAGTGTATAGAAATTTTGGAAACAATCAAAACAAATTTCTAGTCTCTCGTTTCTATTTCCAATTTGTTGTAAAACATAAACATTGTTTGATGATCCTTAAATTTATAGGGTTAGAATCGTGCGATGCTATTTTTTTATTTGTAAAAATGAAGGAATATATAAAAAAAAAAAGATCATAAATAACCAACCTCTATAATCTGTTTGGAAGGATGATTATGACAGACGAGCTAAGGTGATATAGTGTAAGGTAAGTAGGGTGATAAGCCTAAATTTTAGAAATTAAAATATCTATTTTTTATTTAGGGTAAAATTAAATTTATTCTGATTTAATTTAAAATCCTACCAAATCCAAATTAAAACGGAAGTTATTTTGACCAAAAACGAAATTTGAAAATAACTTTTTTTCCCAGAATTGAAAATAATTTCAAAATCAGTTAAGATATTTTGAAATGCCTCCAAATATGAGGTTGGAAAGGTAATAGTATTAGTATAGTAAATAGTAAAACTGTAAAAGGCCATATAAAATAGATACATTCTTTTTTTTTCTTTCTTTTTTTTTTTTTATCAAAAGGGAGGCAACGCCTGCAAATTGGACACGTATTTCAGGCGCAAATTCCAAAGTTTTTTACTCTCTCTCTATATATATTCGATATCGCCAATCGAGCACCGATGTTCTTTGTCCACCGGGAAGATGCCGGCCGCCGTATTCCTCCGTAGGAGCCGGCCGGAAGAGCATCTGGAAAAAGCTACTCGCACCGCCGTATTCGAAATTGTAGGTATCGCGTTTTGAAATATCCGCGATTCGCGATTTCGTCCTTGAACGTTTTCTTCCGATTGATGTACGCTTTTGTTGCGTTTGATCTAATTCTGTTCTGTTAATTGATTTTGTTTTGTTAGTCGATTACTGGAGGAGCGTTTTCTTCCGATTGATCTGAGCTTTAGTTGCGTTTGATCTAATTCTGTTTTGGTAGTCGATGACTGGAGGTGGAGGTACGATCGGCTCTGATCCGAGGAATTCGCGCTTGTGATTTCTAATCGAGGAGGAAAAATTACCGATTCTTGTTTTGATTTTGTGGAGAGGAATTTGGGAGGGCTTTGTACTGTTTCTACTTCTTCTGCCTGTTTGATTGCCGAGAAAATCGCACTCAGGTTCATTCTCCACTTATCTGTTTTACTTGCGAACTCAATTTCTGATCTAATCGAGCACAGACAGGTAAATTTCAGTTTCCTTATCCTCCGGTTTGAATCGAGAAAGTAATTGATTGTTTTTGTTTAATCTTCGAGAACATTAAATTCCTAATCCTTCATTAAACATTTTGTATACGCTCTCTCTCACAATTTCTTGATCATCATGATCCCAATCACTTCACCGGAGGGATTTAATTCATAAATCGTAAGTAATCTCCTCTTAGCAGCTTTCTTAATTATGAACTTCACACCGGTGAAATTTTTTCAGGAGATTTTAGCTCTGAGAATTTTGAAAAGTTTTCTGAGTGAAGCAGTTAGCGAATTACGGTTTACTTTGCAGGTTGATCACTGATCACTGATCCTTCTCCAAGGCGCTTTTTTCCGACTCTGTCACATAACATTAAAGTTAGAAAAAGTTTTATTTTCATTTCTTTTTAAGAAGTATATATATTTAATAATTTTTTTTTTACCCGAAGTTGAAGTTCTTTGGCTCTTACAACTAGTGGCACCCATGCCCACTTAAAGTTCGAACGTTAGAGATATCAAGAGTTTATTTTTTTATTTTTTGTTATTAAGCTGATTCAGAGATTTGAATCTGAGAACTTCTAGGCCGATGACTAGATATTATTTAATTAGGTTTTTAGCTTTGTCGCATTTCAATTTAAACTTTTAAAGTGAATAGATTCTATATCATACAGTTTCAATTTTTTTGTCTTATAGGTAAAGGAACTTTTTAAGGGACTTTATAGGTTTTTATACTTTCATTCTATTTGTCTAATAGACTAGAGTCCTACTAAACCTAGAACCTATAAATTTTAGATTAAAATACTATTTTGGTACCTGTACTTTTATGTGGTGTTTATTTTGATCTCTATACTTCGAAAAAAAGTGCATTTTGGTCCTTGTTGTTAGTCTATGGTTAATAAGGACTGTTTGTTTCGTAAGAATTCGAGATTCCCATTGGACGGACATCTGGATTCCCACATTTGTTTTGCGGTAACGTAAGATATCTGAGAATCTTGAGATGCCCGGATATCCTTGGATGTGTATCACGGGTTTCCAAGATTCCCGTGTTGAGGGCATCCACTTTTTACATTTTTGCCCTTCATTTTTTTTCTCCATATATTTTTTTTCATAATTTTTGTTAATTTTAATATTTTACCCTTCTTTATTTTAATATTTTAAATTTATAATTAAAATAAATTAATGTACTCAAGGACTAATAACATATGAATTAATTTGTTCTACAAAATAACATATGAAAAATAAATAATTTCAAATAAATCTATTATATTAAATGAATTTATAAATTATATAAATATTCGTAAGGGCATTTTTGGAACATTCTAGATATCGGACATCTGAAGTTCCAGCCATCTATAGATGCCAGTCATCTATATTTCCGAAAAACAAACAGTCCCGGCCTTCCATTCGCATCAGTCTCCTTCTCTGCTACAAATATCATCTTTTCTTCTCTATTATTCTAATAAATTTTACTTTCAGAAATTAATAGGTCAAAGCTGAAATCCTATTCGTCCCAAATTTTTACCAAAAAACCCACTCTCTGTTGTTGTAGGAAAATTATGGCTCTTGAATGAACTCGCAAAGTTACATTTCCAATTTTTTCCACACCTTCCTCCTCTTCTTCTTCCTCATTTCCCCAGTCTCATCTCTCCAATTTCCCATCAATGTCTGGGCCATACCCAGAGTGGAGGATATTTCACTGACGATTTTGATGGATACGAGCCCAAGGGGAGAAAGCCATCTGAAAATGTCGAGCATTACTTAGACATTTAATCAGACCCAACCCAGTTTATTGGCAAATGCCACCTCACAAATTAAGGGAGACCAAAATGAATATTTTTAGAGCATGAGAACCAAAATGAACTCTAATTTGAACGTATAAGGACCAAAAGAATATTTTAATTTAATTTTAAACAAATGTACGCTTTTTTTCTTAAAAAAAAACTCATTAAACATCTAAAAAGTTGAAAATTTAAGTTAGTTTGTTTATAATTTTTTATTTTTGAAAATTATGCTTGTTTGCACACGATGGTTGTGGTATATTTTCACTTATCTTAAAAACTGCATTTGAATTAAATTTTTTGGAAACTATTTTTTATGGTCCGTTTGATAACTATTTCGTTTTTGATTTTTGATTTTCGATTTTTAGTTTTTCAAAAACAAAGTTGTTTGATAATCAATTCAATTTTCTGTTTTTAGTTTTTCAAAAACCATTTTGAAATTATATGTAGTTTTTAAAAACAAGAAAAAAAAAGTAGTTTTCAAAAACATATTTTTGTTTTTCGAAATCTGATTTTTTCTTCTCATCTTTAACTTTTTTTTTTCTCTCACATTGATCTCTAAAAGATTTATTTCTCATCCTAAATTTTTTTTTATTTTTTTATTTTTAAATGTCTCTCTACAAACTTTATTTCTCTCTCTCAAATTTTCATATTTCGAATATTTATTATTCTTTGTTTCTCTCCATTTTTTCTGTATTTTTATTTTTTTTCTAACAAAACAGTTTCATTTCTGTCTCTAAAAATTTAATATTTTTCCTAACTTTTTTCTCTCTAAAATTTCATTTTTTATAACTTTTATTTATCTTTGTATTTTTTTATTTTCCCAAAAAATTATATTTTGAATCTTGTTATTATCTTTAAATTTGTTTCCACTGTAATTTTTCTTCTTTCTTTAAAATTTCTTTTTTTTTCTTTAACCTATCTTTTCTTCTCGAGTTTTTTTTTTTCTCTACAATTTTTTTCTTTTTGTCTTTTAACTTTTCTTTCACTATTATTTTTTCTAAATCTTTTTATCTATCTCTATAAAATTTATCTTGTAAAAGTTTATTTACATCTATCTAAACTTTATTTTGAAGACAAAAATTTCCGCAGGGTCGGGTCCTAAAAATAGAAAATGCATGTTCCGACCCCGTCCTCATCCCCGATTTTTTAAATAATTAATATATATTTATTACAATTTTTTATACTTAAATTCTAAAAATAATTAAAAACAATTATAAAACCGATAATGTTTCTCGAGAACATCTCTCGGACCCAAGAACGAGGTGGAGACAGAGAATAAAAATTTTCACAACACGAGAATGGGGGAGAGCATTCTCGCACCCACGTCGTTGTCATCTTTACTCTACATAAAATTTTCTCTCTCTAATATGTATTTTCAATTTTCTAACTTTTTAAAAACAAAAAACAAAAAATGGTTAGCAAACATATATGGTTTTTGTTTTTTTAAAAACAGAAAACCAAAAATTATAAACAAGAAAAAACTAAAATGGTTATCAAACGGGTCCTTAATTTTTAAAATTTGACTTAGATTTCGATTTTTTTTTAAAGAGTAGATAACAAAATAAAGAAATATATGATTGAAAGTAGTGCTTACGAGAATAATTTTAAAAAACAAAATGATTATCAAACGAACTTTAATTTCTCTATTTCCAAAATTTCTATCCAATTTTAGATACGTTTACTAAAAATGAGAGATGCAAGTAATAGGAATAGCTGCCAAAAGAATGTTTTCCAAAAATTGAAAATTAGAAATAATAAATTATCAGACGAAACCTAAGTACTTATTACATTCTTTTCCAAATTTGTAATTCAACATTCTTTTTAATTTAAAAATTATTGCTTTAATTGTATACGAATCATAGAGAAAAAGAAAAGGTTGGGGTTCTTGTTATTTTGTGTTTTTTTTATTAATAAAGAAGGAATAAAAATGCATAATAAATATAAGAATTTAAAAATCGTGATAATTTTGAATACTTTATCTTATAAAAAATATTTCCAAGTAGAACTTTTATTGTTTTTAATTTAAGGTTTTTGTTTGGGGGTAAAAATACCTTGGACACGTGGAGGACGCTTATTGGTGTCTAAGGACTAAAATATCCCAGCTCCACCTCGGACCTGCCGAAGAGGTAGGGTTCGCTCATGGGGAAAAGGCTGTGTACATGTCGAAGTCCGATCTGAAGGAGGTTCGACCTACACGGAACCCGACATGTCCGACATGAAAAAAAACATGTAACCGCCAGTCGTGAGTACTGTCGGGTCCCCCACCTATAAATAGAGGGCCTCATTTCACGCTCAGGTAGAGAATCTCACCTCGAACTAATACGGAGTCCGACTTATACTGACTTGAGCATCAGAGTGTTTACCCTCTTGTGCAGGTCCACTCTTGTGTTCAGGTTGGGCCGAGGACCGGGTTCGAACTTGGTTCGTAAAGTATCATTGTGCTAATCCTTGCATAAACATTTGGTGCCGTCTGTGGGGAAGGACGATCTAAGTCATCCTGATTTAAAAGCGCGAGCAAAAATGGTTCAGCTAGCAAACTCAACCAACACAGCCGACCAAAGAGCTCTAGCGGCCAATGATGGCCACCAGAGGGAGGTCGGGGTAGAGGTGGCAGAGGCCTGGGGACAGAGCCTCTCCGCAGGTTGGCACGCATCACCACGCCCATTCTGCCACCAGCACATCCAAAGCCATCCAGAGCCAATCGTGGCCGAGGTGGGGCTTCGAAGAGAACCCTCGAGGACCAGCCCCAGCTCCAACAAGGGAGAATTTTGAGGCACTCCAGAAAGAAATGGAGGCAATGCGCACTCAGATGCGCACCATGGAAGAGATGAACAACGAAATGGTGCAAGTTGCGGGCGCCGGGTCTAGGTCTAAAAACCGGGTGGCACGCGATGACATGCACGAGCAAAGGGGTCATCACCTCGGTCCAGTCGAGGAGGAGCACTCTGAAGGATGTGAGGATGAAGAGTACACTCACCAGAGGGGTGATCTCCGTGAGCATCTCAACAGAAAGAGAAGCTCGTCCCTCCGAAAGGGACGATCTCCGTCCTGCTCGCACAAGAGCTTCAACCAGCAGGTCGAGTCCTCCTACAATCCAATAACTCCCGAGGTAGTGATCATAAGGGAGCAGTTTGACCAGCTGAAGAGCAAGTTCAATGCTCAGGTTGAAGCCTTGAAGGCTAGGTGCGAAAAGAAGGAAAGTCTGTTCGATGACGGCGACCTGGGAGAATCGCCATTCACCTCGGACATCTTGGAGGTCCCAATTCCTCCGAAGTTCAAAACTCCCACCATGAAGCCTTATGATGAGTCTAAAGACCCGAAAGATTACGTTGAGGTCTTCGAAGGCCTCATGGATTTTCAGGCGGCAACAGACGCAATCAAGTGTCGCGCCTTCCAGATCGCACTCACCGGCAGCGCGCGCTTGTGGTATCGAAGACTGCCGGCTAGGTCGATCTCGACCTACTCTCAGCTAAGGAAAGAATTTATCAGTCAATTCTCTTCTCGACATTATGACAGAAAGACAACGACTCACCTCGCCACCATCCGGCAGAAGGAAGGTGAGACGCTGAGAGAGTATGTCACAAGGTTCCAGGAGGAGCAGTTGAAGGTTGCGCACTGCTCCGATGACTCGGCCATGTGTTATTTCCTTACCGGCCTGGCCGATGAGACCGTCACCGTGAAGCTCGGAGAGGAGGCACCGGCAACCTTCGCCGAAGTCTTACAAAAGGCGAAGAAGGTCATTGATGGCCATGA